GAGCAGGAAGTCTCACAAAACATGCACAGGGACAGAGGCAGTGCAGGAGGAAGCAGGGCAGATACTGAAACCCAGCAAAAAAAGGTAATTAGATAAAAAACTGCCACAACTGGAGCAGCCTCAGCTGGAAGTGTTTTAACCCCAGAGGTGCCAAGCACCCTGCAGTGACATTTGTAAGAGCTGCAGATCCACAGCCCATCTGGAACATTTGTGTTCAGTATGTGGATTTAGGAGCCAACAACCAAGCGAGAAGGCAGAAAGGTTGGATCCTCATTGCCAGCAAAGAAAAAGCAACATAAGAATGCAAAATATCGAGAGGGAATTAATTAGGAAGCACATATATTTTTGTTAGCTGTTCAGAACTAATTTCACAGCAAGACACTGGCTGCAGCACCTGCAGGGCTGGTCAAAGACATGCTCAAGGGTCAGGAGAAATGCCACTGAGAAATAAAGAGGAGGAACTTACGCAACTACACTCTGGTTTTTTTAAAGTATATGCTGCGTGAACAATCTCCCACTCCCACAATTAAAACAACTGAAAAAGAGATAAATCAAAGTTATTATCCTGTTACAAATATCAGTCACCCACGTATTGACACACTTTAACAGAACAGAAGAACAAATAATTAAACACAAAGTATTTAATCAAGCTTTTATTACATGAAAGTGAGTAAAACTTCACTTTCCACGCCATGGACGGTTCAACAGTTGCAGCCACATTGCCGACGTTCCTGGTGTGGCATTAATTCATCCTGTGATGTGTCGCCGCTGGAGAAATCCTCAGCGGATGGGGTAGAAATCCTCCAAAAGCTCTCCTATTCTTTTCTTTTCTGTAAGAGGTGGGAAAACCTAATCAGCATTTGAGATCAATCCGGAATATGTTTTATATTAAAATCTTAAGGTTAACAAAGCCACCAAAAATCTGATTTTTGCTACTAACAGCGAATCACCAGCTTGCTGTTTTAACTAAATGCATAACTTCTTTCCCATAGGGCTCTCCACAGATCCCTGCAAAGGCATCTCCATATTAACACTTTTTTATTTGTACATACTCTTTCCAACATGGTATGATGCAGACCACAATCCAACAGCCAGAGTCACCTAACTGTATTGTGTCAGAAAATGGACAGTTTTCACCAAAATCTGCCATGGCCTCTTTGGGCTCAGTGACTACATTTAGTAAAAAACTGCTGTTCTTCACCACAGCTCTAAGCCAAGAGCACTTCAGGCTTCCTGCCATTTCTATTTACTCTTTTTTCACCTGCTCTGGTTGTTTACTGAATATTCATCATGCAATTTCCGAATCTACATGCATGGGCATTTTGTAGAATAAACAGTACAATTGTGATGTTACAAGAATAAGACCTGAGCTTTCTAATTTCCATTACTTTATTTCTTCTTCAGTGGTACCAGTTTGGTCTATTCTTATTTTCTTTTTGTTCTGCTATTTCTATATTAAAATAAGCTTTTAAGAGGAAGAGGTGGTCATCAAGGCAGATCAACAGCTCAATAAAAATATCTATTTTCATATCATAAAATCCTTAATACTGTTGCAATTTAGATTGTGAATAAGCGGGAGAGACTTAGCTCAGCAATATCTTTACACACGTTGGCACTTGTTAACTGGAACATAAGGCAGGCTGAGGTCTCATTTAAAAAACCAACTCATCGTACCTGCCACCTTAAAGTCTTCTGGGTGATGCCTGACGTACTCCAACAGCTCTCTGTCCCTTTTGGCATAGATGTAATCCGAACGTTTCGTCAGGTAGTAGCCAACAAACCACCCCACGGTGGTGAACAGGACCTGGCGGTGAACACCTGCAGCAGGAAGAGAAATGTCCATGTCCCCCTGTCCCAGTTCCTCTTCCTGGGGGCCTCAGGCAGGCCCCTGCTTTCCCTGGGTCCCTCATGCCCCAGCACCTCCCTCCCTGCTTTCCCCCAGTGAAGGTCCCTACACAACCACACCTCCCACGGCCGCTGCCAGACCCCCGGAGAGACCCCCTTTCCTCAGGGCTCCTTCCCCTTCCTGCCCTCCATATCCCTCAGAGAGTCACCTCAAATCCCCTCCACACCCATACCACATCCCTTTCTCAGCCCCCTCCAACTACCTCCAATTCCCCCCCCGCCAACAAACCCCTCATTTCAGGGCTCCCACTCCTTCACTCCAATCCCCTCACAGAGACACCCAAAATCACAACAGAGCACCCCATTCCCCTCCAACCCTCCCACCACTCCTCACTCAGGGTTCCCTCACCTTCCCTCCCTATTTATCCCTCAGACTGACCCCAAATCCCACACATTCCATTCACCAGCCCCACATACTCTCTCATCTCAGGGCCCCCTCCCCTTCAACCCTCAAGGTCACTCCAAATCCCACATACCGCCTTCCTTCCCCAGCCCTCCAAATCTGCTCTATCTCTCCATCCCCTCACCTCAGGTCTCCCTCCCCCAGCCCCAATATCCCTCACGGTCACCCCAAATTCCCCACACCCGCTCCCGCAGGCCCCTCCAGCCCCTCACTCCCAGTAGTTTCCCCTCCTCCCCCTTCATTTATCCCTCAGAGTGACCCCATATCCCACACAGCACTTTCCAAGCCCCACATTCTCCCTCTACCCCACCCCCAGCCCCCGTATCCCTCACTATATCCCTCCTTATATCCCCCTCAGGGCCCCTTCCCCTTCACTCCCGCCCCTATAAGCCTCAAGGTCACCCTAAATCCCACACACTCACTCCTGCAGCGCCCCTACCCCTTCCAGCCCCTCACTCCTGGCAGTTTCCCCTCCTCCACCTGCATTTATCCCTCAGAGTGACCCCAAATCCCACAAAGCCCCTTCCCCAGCCCCTCACTTCAGCCACCCCCCCGCCCCGTTTCCCCTTCGCCTCAGGCTGCCCCTTGTCTCCCCGCACCGGCTCGGAGGACGGGGCGGTGGTTGAAGGTGTTGTCCAGCAGCGCCGTAATCCACCCCACAAAGCCCAGCCAGACCGAGCCTCTGTTGAACAGCGGCGGCGGCGGCAGCGATCGCGACTCGTCGGGCAGGAACACCATGGCTGCGGCCCGCCCAAGGTGACTCGGCGGAGCGGAGCGCCGGCTGCGCCTTCCGCCGCCTGCCCGCGTCCCGCTCCCGCGTTCCGCTGCCTTCCCCTGATTTTCGTTATTTCGCCAAAAAACACCCCAAAATCCAAACCCCCCGGCCCACAAACCCACCTACCCACCCCTACCCGAGGCTGAGCGGCTCTAGCAGGGGCCGGGTGGGGGGTCCCGCAGCCCTGAGCCCACTGGGGGAGGCGGCCCCGCTTGCCTCTGGAGGGCCAGGGAGGCCGGTCGGTAACTAAATTAGGGGATTGATAGAGGACTAAAATCGAAGCCCATTAATTTTCAGAGGTCGTCCTGCCGACAGATTAAATACTGAGACCTACACCATGTTGTTAGTTTTTGCTTTTTTAATTATTACGAAACCACATTAAATCACTTGCCACCATAGCAGGATTGATGGAACCATTAAAAACCCCCTTGCATTAAAAAGACACCACCGGTCCTAAAGGCTTCTCAGCCTCTTCCCTAAAAATGTATTATTTAGCTTTTCTCCACACAGGAGGAGGTTGGGCAGTCACTGCTCCCCAGTAGTTGAAGCAGGAATTACAGAATGGCCATAGGTGGTCACTTAAGTCACTGCCCCAGGCTGAATTTCACAGAATAGTTTGGGTTGGAAGGGACCTTCAAGATCATCTCATTAAAACCCTCTGCCATGTGCAGGGATACCTTCCACCAGACCAGGCTCCTCAGAGCTCTGTCCAAACTGGCCTTTGACACTTCCAGGGCTGGGGCAACCACAGCTTCCCTGGGCAACCTGTTCTGGAAGGAGTTGGGCTTGACTTGCAAAGGTGTTGCTGCAGAAGAGCCAAGTTTGGGGTTTTTTGTTTGTTTGTTTTATTGTTTGTTTTTTGTTTTGTTTGGGGTTTTTGTTTGTTTTTTAAATATTACTGTTTCCCTACACAGGACAGCATCTCCATGCAGACAAACACAAGCACTGTGGATGCTTTACCCTGTGCAGAACTTTGAGGCCTAGACCAGCAGTAAAATACAGGTGGTAAGAAGCACCGTGGCATCAACAGCAGCCACAGCAGCTAAAAAGAGCATGGCAAAGCTGCTGAGGTGTAAAAAAGGCAGAAACTATGAGAAAGTAATGAAAAACAGAGTGAGAAGGTCTGAATACAAGCTCATGGACTGTGAAAAGTTTAAATGCACAAGCTATTTGGTTACAGAAATGGCCACAGCAACTACTCAACCTGCTGTCCTAACAAGAGCCCCACTCTCTTTTAACATCTGAAGTATTCAAAGAACTCAAAAAGCATAACTATCCCCTGGACTATCCTCTCCGAAGGGGTCCAGTTCTTCAACTAACACAGAAGAAAGTTCAAAAACTACTTGAAAAACCAAACCAAAACAAATCCATCCCTTCTCCTCCCATTTCATGTCAGCACTGGAATCCAAACCAGACCCCAATCTCTAGAGCAACATCTTTTAGGGATGGTTATATAGGGTTTAAAAAGTACAATTATTTACCACAGAAATAACTTACCTTCAGGGTACATGATTCCAGAGGCAGAATACAATATACCTTTTTTTGAACTTTCTAGAGGAACTGTGGACACTTGATCTTTTGTTACAGTTGCAGACTTTTACATTAATTACAAATAAATACCATTATGCAGCCACATTATAGGGTAGATTTAATGGTATGAAAAAAAAATTCTTCATGTCAGTCCCAAGCCTCAATTTGGTCATCTGGGCTACACAAATAAGTATTAAAAGAATGTTAAAGCCTCTTTGAAGAGTATCCATGAAACAAAGAGGTCAATGGGATATGGACACATAAAAACTTGATATTTGAGTGTTCAAGATTTTGACAAAGTTTCCAGCTAGACACTACATCCTTACTTGTGCAGGTGTCCCTCAAAAGCAGGGCTTAGATGTGAGCTGAAAAAAATGCAAGAAATGCTCAAAGAAAAAATGTCAAGTTTTTAATTTACAAGTTCCACAGAACACAGTGACAACGCTCTCCTACACAGCAATCATCCCTTCTAATTTGACACAACAACTTTTATTCAAATACAAACAGTAATGGGAGAATCAGGCAGGTTTTCCTTGGGACAGAAGTCTGGACCTTGTTGAGCTTCACAGTTTATCCACAGCCCTCCACGTTACTGTGAGCACTTCTGATCAGAGGTATCCTCGTTGGGCAGTACAGGAGTGCTGGAAGAAAACCTCCCCATGGTACACATACACTGTGTCTTATCCAGAGTTGTATGTTCTTGTGACATACAACTGTGCCAGTAATCCCCTCAAAGGGGTATCCTGGGACTGGTCCCAGCACTGTGGCTTTACTCAGCCTTTTGTCTGACAGGAATTCTCTCAGTCAAGACAGAGACGTAGAGTTTGAGCCAAGCGTATGTGATGCCCAGAGCACAGTATACAGAGGTCAGCAACAGAGGGACAAAAGGGAAGTGCCATTTCCAGGGGGTCAGGGGAAATATAATTTCACAGAAGATTTCCAAAGGCACGAGTTGGATGAGGTAGATTGTTTCAAGCCAGTTAAGGAGAGGCTTCTCTCTCCTGTCAGAGGAATTAAAAAAGAGGTAGTGTTAAAATACAGGATGTTAACTAAAAATAACAATTCTGTTTTTCAGCTATCACTGGTGACCAGAGCAAAGAATATCTATTAGTTCACAACAAGGCTTTAAATAACAATTTAAAAAGTTTCAGGAAAAAAAAAAAACAAACAAGAAAAACCCCCAGCATGATAGCCAAGACTACAGCTAATTTCCTTATCACGTGCCTTTTACACCAAGTAAAATCTAAGGAGAAACCTTATCAGCTGCTGTATTTCACCTCACCTCCTTTCAGTGAACAACTGAACAGACCTTCACACACACACACTTGTTCCACCAAAGTTGTTCTATATCCAAAGACGAGAAATGTCACACTTATTTTAACCTCTTCCCTCAAGCTTTCTGTAGGATGTAATGTCTAGCCAATCTCTCTGGCAAAGGACATCGGTGGTAGGGTTTTGACTGCAGGTAGTTTACAGGGAATTTCAAGTTCTGGCAGGAATTTGTTCGTTTTGGCAAGTTAGGAACAAGAAACTTGCAAAAGTCCCATCTCTAGACAAAAGCTAAGCTCCTACAGAGCTTTTTAGTTAGTGCTCTTGAGACAGAATGATTGAATTCTTAAACACTAAGGGGGAAAAAGCAGTCTCCCCCAAAAAAAACCCACCTACAAAAAACAAGTGCTTGAAGTACTGAACACATGTTTACAGCCCTTTTGACATCCCTCATTACAGCTTGGTTTTGCCCTGAAAAAAGTCTGGGAAACAGGGAAGTGGAGACTATAGGGGTTGTAAGGATAAGCAGTATCTTTGGTCAAGTAGGTAAGAGATCAATAGGCTGTAAAACTACACAGGATGATTTGGACAATTACATGTTCTGGCAGCCAAATGTTTGCAGCTTGGTTGACAAATCACAGCTTGTAACGTACGTTATTTATAACCTGTCCCTTCCACACATTAAAATACTACTACTGTAAAAAACCAGAGCAGAGTAAGATAAACAATCGCCAGATAACTCACTGTAATAAGTGCTCCGAGACTGAATTAAATTCTCACAGGATATAGTATCACAACTCCATGCTTTAACAGGATATCAGGCAGGTGGGGATCTACAGCCTGCTGGGACTAACTGGGCAGCTGTCACAACTCAAACATAACCAGGATGTGCTGTAATAATCCTAACTAAAGCACTGCCTCCTGAGAACTGCTGCAGCAGCATCTTTTGACTAGTAACACTTCAACCTGATACTTCAGCATCGGTTTTCTGTGCTGTTTGCACCCCTTAAGACAAGACTGTTTCCAGTGCCAAAAGAAATGTTGTTGTTCCTGGCATTGAGAATGCAGTTTCTTTAATTACCTGAATAGAGATTTCAATGAAGAGAAGCTATAAACAGTAAACAGCAGCATAAGCAGTATTTTAAGTGGAAGTTCTGAAAAGCAAAGAACATTATGGACTTTTAAAATTAATTATGAAAACTTTTTGCCATATGAATTGCACTATCTTTAAATCCTACTAGTCACGCTTGCATTGTTCAAAGTTATTTTCTGCAGACCTACATGCTTTACTACTCAGGATACTAAAAATAAGCATAGATGTTTACTACAGCAAATGCCAAGCATTTGCAATACACTTACTTCAATTATCTATAAACATACTGAACACAATAATTATAATTACAACTTGTGATAGCACTGCAAATAACATTTCCCTATTCAAAAGAAATCACAAATCACTGGGAAGTGATTAAAGCAAAAATGACAGGCAAATCAACACTATTGAGCTCTACGTCTCACACGAGATAAAAATTAACTAATAGAGAAAGCAGAGGAAGTTTCTTATTTCTGAAGGCAGCAGCTGTCACAAATAAGCAGCACTGTCAGACCAAAAGACTGTGAGTGCCTGGATCTGAACTCTCCCAGAAGGATGACAATCAATTCAGTGTTACAGTGTTGTCGTAACCACCATGGTCAGGAGTTTGAGAAAAGCAAACAGGCCCCTGATTAATTGAAAAGGTAGGAGGTGAACGAAGGAACAAACAGGTTTTGGTCACAAAGACACATCTGTCCCTACAAGCACTGACTTAACTGGTGCTACTACATGATTTTTTAATTTAAGCACAGTACTGGCAGCATAAGGAAGCAGTCAGCTGGAAAACAGCCTGCCAGGGCTGTAGTTTCAAATTGTCTTCATCAGTTTTGCCTGACATGGTTATGACAACGGGAGGTTTCTGGAACTGTGGCAGAGCAAGGGATAACAAATATTGACTGACAGCTTCTCATCCCTATTTCAACTTCAGGCCTATTTCAACTATGGTCTTTCTACAGCTTTTTAACCCAATGATTCACTAGTTGGAGAGTTTGCATTTATGGAAACAGGCTGACATACAGCCTCCTTGCAACTTTCAAGGTATTATATAAATTAATCCAAACCCATTACCTGCATGACATCTCTGGAAAAAAACCCCAAAGTAGTAAGATGAAACCACAGAAAGAAGAATACTTTACCTGGTGGAGTGAACAACAATGGAAAAAGTGAGAAATGCCCTGTTGTTGTCAGAATCAAGTAGATGCCAGCATCCTTGGCTCTCTGAATAGACAACAAGCTAAAAAATGACAAAAATTTGTTATGCTTTTGTCTTTTAGTAAAGAAACTTAATTTCAGCAGAGCACTACACAATTCACAAAAGAGTGAAGAAAGGTCAAATAGCTTCATGGTACCACAGTCCCTCCAAACACTGGACCTGTGATGAAGTCTCCTGCTTCCAAACTACATAGCCCCAGAAATAAAAATACAGGAGAAAAATTATCCAGGAAACCCTCCCCCGGAAAACCACACACCCACTGAACAAAACTACTGGCAAGGCCTGACAGAACACAAGAGCTTAAACATCACTAAATCTCTGAGGGAGGAAAATACAGTTTGGAGCAATACTGGTCAGGCAGTTTATGAACTACAGCCTACTTCTACCCTAGGCAGGCATAAAGTTCCTTTGGTAGGAACTGCGTATTATTCTTGTCAAGCACAGTGCAGAAGACCCCTTTCCTCAGCTGGCTGCTGACCAATCTATCCAGCATTTTAGAACATGAACCACAGCACTCATCAAGGTTTGATCTGTGCCTGAAATTAATTTAAGTGCACTACACTGTTCCAGCTTAAGACATTCTATAAACACGTTCATCTTCTGAAATATACTGAAAACAAAGTGATCCCCTTGGAGGATTCCTTAACAAGTGGCTGCAGGTCCACTTTGGCCAACTACTGTGTACAAAACTCACTTACCTTAAAGGCAGAATAGCAAGGAGTATTGCTTTTTCATGCACGTGCCAGCCAAACATGAAGGAGCTCAGCGCACAAAGAACAAGGCACTGCAGAAAGCCTCTGGGCCCTTGAGGTTTAAACCAAAGACAGAAAACAGAGGGCTAGAAACAACAGGCAAAAACAGGACTTCAGTGAAAAGTTTGGCAATCCCGAACACAAGCCATCGTCCAAAGAGATTTTTCAACGTTAATACACCCCACTGCACCCAGGTTTGTGCTTGTGTGGCACAAGCATTATATAGCACTGGAGGAACCAGATCTATTTGGGTGTATGAGTAGAGCCTGAAGGAATTCTGTCGAAATAACAGGAGGGGAAAGTAGACTGAAAGACCACAGCCAACTCCCTGCCATTTGCATGCAAGAACTGTCTTTCAACCTAAGTCACTAAATTCATTTTATCAAAGTCACCACATGATGGTGTTGAAACAAAGATTTCCCATTAAAGGCTAGTTACTCATTAAAGTGAAAAGAACTGTGTATTTGGGTAATTCCTTACTGAACCTCTCTTTCTGTGCTTGCCATGTGAAGAACACTACATTTACCTGTGGCTCATGCTGTTAGGAACACCGTAAGCTGCTCAAACAGCTCCATCAGGAACTCCACCCACGTCAACTACCTTCTACCACAAAAGGTTACTTCTAGCTCAGCACACAGACTGGTTTTGATCCAAGTTTGCTTTTAACACTCTTCTAACCATTGACAGGGGCCATAAATGTAAGTTCATATTCGAAGAAAGTTTTATTGTGTATCAAGAAAGATATTAAGTCCAAATTTATTCTAATAACTGGTTTTATTAATTTTTTTAAAGAAAACATATTTGTTGCCCTAGAATTAAAATTCCTGTGAAGTGTACACTAATCAATTAAAACCTAATAGGGACAAAACATACGAAGTTTCAAAAAATATTAGTTGTTCTTACCAATATAGCTATGAAAGTACAGATTAATGTTGCCAGTGGAGTCACTGAAGGGAGGACAGTGTGCTGAAATTCTTGAACCAGCCCTCCTGTCATGGAGGCTTTAGGGATTTTTGTGTGATCAAGAAAATTGCACTTTAAACCTAAAAACAAAACATAAAGAAGCACAAACTGAGAAGTGCCAATAAAGAAAATGAAGTAGCTGAATTAAGTACCTGGACAAGTCTTTTCTTTTTTTAAAGGATAGGAAAGGGAAGTGATTGATCTCTGACCTACTGCTGAGAACTTACACATTACATTACGTGGACAATCAGATGATTTATAACAATCTGAAAATGTAATTTACTACACGCATTTCAAAATGGGGCAGACTGAAATCCAGAGAGCTCTATCAGCAAATGGCACCAAGCAGCAAGATCAGCATACTGACCAAGAATTGTTAGTGCTTTATCCATGGCATTGTACAAAGCCCAGAAGTTGGGGGCCCAATAGGCATGGCAGAGGCCTCGCTTGAAAGGAAAAAGCCGTGAAATGACTTGAGGCAGCTGGCCCTACAGAAAACAGAAGAAAGAAACGACCTCTTTAGACAAGACATGGTATTTTTATAAGGCAATTTTTTAACAGGTCTGGGGAATAACATGTGAAAAAGGGGTTATTACCAATACTAGGAAGGGTCCCAAAGAAAGAGCAGAAACAAGACAGACAATCAGTCCCAGAAGAGTTACATGAAGAAAGCTGAAACTTCTCCACTTCAGGGATCCATCTACAAGAAACAAATGGATTACGAGAACAGTTACTGTGGGAAGTGGAAAGGGAGACAAAGCATTCCACACTGACAGGGAATTGATAGCACCTATTTTAGAAGGGGCACACAGCCTTTTACGGCAATACATTCAGTTGCTTCCTTCAACAGTCACTTGGCATTTATCTTTTTCCACACTGTAGAATGCAGGAGCTGCAATCTTTTGCTGTTTTCCAAATTTCCCTTCCCTGTTCACATGAGGAGTATCAGGCATGTTTTAGTGCTAAAAAGTGGAGAGAAACTCAAAGAAGGACTTTGAAATGGCTTCTGATGCTATCATAACAGTTCTTATGGCCTCCAAGTGCCACCTGCAGTTTGTTCATGCTCGTTCCTCTTAACAAAGAACTTAACAAAGGACTCAAAGTAACAGGAATTGTACAGAAACAAATGTATTTCAAAGATCTTGCAAGATCCTGTCAATTCTGCTCTCAAGGAGAATTTTTGTTTGACACACAGCCATTTTGTTCCAATTGCATCTGCATATCTCGAGTGTTCCCCTAGTTGCACTGATTACCCAATCCCCAAAAGCCAGTGAGGAAAACCCCATCTTACCTGCATTATTTGCAGTAAAACAATAGGATCGTAACAAATAAATGCCATATGCTGGGGCCACGTACAAGTAGATGTGTTTGAAATGCAGAAGAACAGCAAAAAGAAGAGCGCCCTCCAAATACCTTTTCTAAAAGAAAAACAAAACCCAAGCTCTTTTTCCTGTACTCTGTACTAACTCTTAATGGTCCCCTGTTGTACTCCTACGGCGATGGGACAGTTATTACAGGCATTAAAAAAAAAAAAAGTATTTACTTCAAATTACAAACTCAGTAGTATTATGCACAAAAGGTATGGAAAAAGAAACTATTGTGTCACACCATACTTGGACAACTGGGACAGGCCTCCCTTCCCCACACCTTCAGAAGTATGTTTTCTAAGGACTGGTGATTTGGAAGAGCATGGCAAGAAATGATGCCACATTGCTTAGCTGTAATACAGAATTTAGTTTTCTCAGTGGAATTGTAATGCTGCAGCATTAGTAAGCAATTATGGTGAGTTTCAAGCTCTCCTCCTCCCTCTGAAACTCAACGAATAATTAGACATCCAGCTTTGCACACCTCAACATCAAGCCACTACCACTGCCTTCAACATGGGCAGCTCAATGAAGTGAATTAATGCACCCAAATACATATGGCAACAAATAGATGAGAGTCACTTGAGTTTACCTGACACAGACGAGCAACAGAAAGAAGCATCAGCCCAAACAGAAAGCCATTGTACTGGAAGTGAATATCTGAACTTGAGTCAAGAAAGGAATAAAGCAAGGTTTCTTTACTATTATGTTTTCTGGGGAAGACTCAAAGTTCTGAACAATAAATTCAAATTAAAATGGAATTTAAATCAAGAAAGCAATCTTAAATTCACACCATGCTGAATTATTATTTAACATTAACTGTTAGTACTCTTAGACACAAAATCTACTAATGCTAGCACATTACCTTGATGAAATGAAACACAACAATCTACATATGTATTATGCAACTTATATAAGACAAACCAAAACCAGGTTAAATCTCCACTTAAATTTTAAGCACTAGTGTTACCAAACAAGTTATATTTCTTAAAAAAGGAGTCTATGCAGCAGTTGGAGAAAATGTTGAGAAGAGATTTAATTGGTGAAATAGATGACGGTTGATGGGCAAGCTCTGGGTAATGTCCATGTGTTAGAATAACAAATTAAAAGTTTAGGGCTTGGTTCTGGAGGAGGAAGTTAACGAAGCCTGGAAGATAATTTATTTTTGAGAACTGAACACCAGGAATGCAGAATTTATAAACCACAAAGACATGTTACATAACCCAGAGATGTCCTATCTGAGAAAAAGATAATAAAAAGACTGAAAATGTGAACTAATTAGCATGAGAAGTAAGAAATCAATAACCAATAGATGAGAGAACGCTAATTAATGAAGAGAACTACATAACTTGTAAGCCAATGAACATTAATTCCTTTGTTTGCTGAAGTGTATAAATAGTCAAAACTTTTGATGACTGATATACACGTTTTGTGGAGCTATCCCCACATACCTCTACACTGAATAAAGTGATGTCAACTTTTTAACCTAACAAAGTGGTCAATTTCTCAGTTTCTGGTGACAGTTCCTGGCAAGCAGAACAGGAGCAGGTTGCCCAGAGCAGCTGTGGATTCCTCATCCCTGGAAGTGTTCAAGGTCAGGTTGGATGACGCTTTGAGTAACCTGGTCTAGTGGAAGGTGTCCTTTCCCGTGGCATGGGTGTTGAAACTAGATGATCTTTAAGGTCCCTTCCAACCCAACTCAACTCTATGATTTGATTCTGTGATGTCTTCTTTTAGAAAGCCTCCCTAATTCCCATATAACATTAGCCAATTGAATACAGTCTGAACTTAAAGAGCTTTGAAGATTTTCCTTGCCATGGGACAAACTTGGAATCACACCCAGAAAATAGAGCCTGTCTGCTAATACTTCTGTAGGCAGGTGGAGGAGGAGCACCCAACAGGAACAGACACATTGCTGCCAGACTGGTTGGTTCTCCTGCAGTTCTGGCAAATCAGATGAAGAACTGACTAATTTTCATTTTGCCAAATAAGAATTCTAATAAAAACATGAAGTTATTTAACTAACCTCAGAAACAAAACCAGTAGTGTTATTTGCTGTGATAGTAATATGAATTGGTACCACACACTGTAACAGATTGCTAAACCAACAAAATAACACAAACAGTCCATAATGGTTTGAAAGGATACGATCCACAATTAACAACCCAAAATTCCACAAGAGCAGAACAGCAAGAATAAATGCTGGTTTTTCCAGGATATCCTTTGCAGCTCGTTTTCCATTTATGCATCTGCAGCACCTGAACAAAGGCAGAAGAAACAGAAGTTTTAATTCAAACATACAACAAAAGCATTGTTGGTTTAAAGAGCTGAAAGGTGCACTTAATCTGAAGTTAACCCTTTTATTAGGATGGAAGATGATGATAAAATCCTTGCTAAATTCATCAAGGCCAGTGTCATGACAGTGTCATGAATAAAGTTTAGTAAAAGAAGGATTTTCAATTTCAAAGCCGTAGTGTGTTCCACGTACTAAAGCTGATGTTAACTAACTTAGCCTCAGGTTCAAGTCCTGCATTCACTAAGTGTAAAGCTGTCACAGCCTGCTTGCCATCATGGATAAGCAATGTATTGCTACATCTGGAGACAACATACCAAGTTGTATTTAAGGTTGGACATTAACTTCTTCCATCCCCCCTCCCTCAATATTATGAGTTCTCTCTGTTGGTTAAAAATCCTATTACTTCTCTGCGTGAAGCAATATGGTTCATATTATTTCTGAAGGCAAGGTTAGGTCAGATTAAAAAGTTACAGATGATTTGTGTTGAAATACTATTGTAGAGCCATTTTAAGAAAGCCAGCTCATATACGGAATCATGAAATGGTTTGAGTTGGAAGGGACCTTTCAAGGTCATGTAGTCCATACCCCCTGCCATGGGCAGGGACACCTTCCACTAGACCAGGTTGCTTAAAACCCTGTCCAACCTGGCCTTGAATTTTTCCAGGCATGGGACATCTATCACCTCTCTTAGCAGAACGACCCCATGCAGACACCAGCCCTGAGCCTTCAGCCCCACATTCATATATCTGTGAGCCAAAACAACAAAAAGAAAAAAAAGTCACAATGCAAAGCTAGCTCATTTCAAATAAAGTAAATAAAAGGGCTTAGGCAGTGCTCCAGTCAGAGAATTTTCTACCTGGATTTTGATTGACAGATTAAAACTGGGGAAGACTGTTACAGCCAAATCATTAAGGTAGACAACATAGTTCTCAAAACATCCTCCACTCTACTCTTTAGGTATTAGATAAATACTTCTTTACAAAGTCAGGGCACACTGAAAGTATCCAATCCTATTATTTTTCTATTAGACTTGGAATAATCAGTTTATCATCAAAAATACCAAAAACACCGGAGCAACTTTGCATATTTGATACTTTGTGACAAATTTCCTTTATGCTTCTACTCTAGAAGAACAGAGTAGCAAGAAAAATAACAAGAAAAAAGCCTATTCTGAGCACACAAGCTGTCCTGCAAGTCCTACAAAATGAACCCAGTGACAGAAACAAAACCAACTATAACACATGAAACAGCAGCTAATGCCTGACTGTGTGCAAATCTACCACATGTACAGAAACTGCATCTCCCAGAACAAAACATTAGATTGTGTTTAGCACTGTATTCCAAATTTCTCCTTGAATAGGTTAAAGCAACTTCGGCATTTCCATGCATTTACAAGCTCATTCATACAGTTATTTGTTGTGGCACGTATTAAAGACTACCCACTGTCCCTAAAATTAGAATGTTAAGACTTACTCATGAACTCCATATATGAAGAGGATATCTGTAAAAATGACAGAAAGTCTTTGGAAGAAAATGGTTGCGCGACTGGTGTAATTCAGGTTTTCGATAACCAACATCTGTGGGTCGAAGTACTTGGCCACGTGCGAGAGTGCGTATTCAAACCAGGCAAAAAACGGTGGATAATCTAGGGTCCATTCCGAAGTTGCCTAACAACAAAAGAAGATTAAATAGTTTAAGACAACCCATGCTGTTTGCAGTCCTTCAGCTGATGCGTTTTATCTCAGTAGCCTCTATTTAACAGAAACTACTCCACAGTGGGTAACCAGCTCTGTGGTGCTGTGCATGATTTAAGCTGTTCTTTTGCAGTACTGGTAGAGAGACAGGACATCTGATTAGTAGGAAAAGATTAAACAGCATTTTATGTATCTGCACCTAACCAATATATAACTGTCTGTTCTTTATAAATCAACTTACAGTAATAGGGCCAATATTAAAAAATCTCAGTAAAACAGATCACAGCGAATATTGGTCTACATTGGAGCAAGTACCAACATAATCAGCCTTGCTACAGTCTCAAAATAACTCATTCATAAGTCTTAACTCTCGTATGACCTTATCAAGACCAAATGGCATTATGTGATCTTTTCCTATAAGGACAGCTGTTATGCTCTGAACAATCCTTGGCTGTGGGAACAGGAGAAGAAGAAGGAGAAACAGAGCAGGTTGGGATGAGGTATAGTTTTCAGTGTGCATGTTCCCAAATGCTTATCTCATGCTGATAAAAGGCATCCTATCCTCTGGCACTGGGATCGTGCTGGCATCTCAGAAATGTGGTTTACAATACTGGATCACCCTTACGAAGTTCTGACCTGCACAAATCGTTTACTCCTGGATACACAAGTCCCAGATGCTTAAGTGGAGGAGTACTGAAGTCTGTGATATGTATCCCTATACTCCATAAGATACTATAAGATAGATTAAAACCCAGTTATATAGGCTGAGTCTATCACAAACTTAAAGTTGATTCATCTAGACAAAAATCAATGCACACTACTAGTACATGAGCAAAGGCTCAAAACTTTATTAAAGTGACTGATTTCATAACATACATATGTCTATACCCATTTGCATAATTCATTTTATATTCTGATAACTGTGTATCATCCAGGACAAGAGCGAAGCGAGCAGCAATTTAAGACTACCATGCAACTTGCTCCTGTGCTACACAGCCTTTCTAATAACCCACATGCCTTAACTGCTCTTGCCATTCTGCCTTCTTAAGTACTTGCAGCTTCCCAAAAGAACTCTCATTTTTTTAACTAATGCTACACAGGGCCAACAAATTGTGACTGGTATGTTTTTGTCCCACTGCATGACACCCACCAACCACTTCTTCCAGCATTCACAAAGTCTGACATACCCAATGTGCCTATAATTCGTACACAGCTAAAAAACCCCAAACAGACTTACCTCGTAGTACCACTGAGAGAGGGGTAAGTTGTGGGTGATGGCAAGCCAGTTCCTATGTACTTCAAAATCTGTGGAATAACTAGAGAAGGGGTATATTAAATGTCACATACATGCACTTAAAGGAGAAACATTTCAGAGTACCTCACCATAGGCAGGTAAAAAGGAAGTCTCTACTGATGAGCTCTAGGGCACAACTGTGGTCAAGTAACTGAAACAATAGCAAAGATGCTGCATGAACTTTGTGCCAAGGATATATGAGAGAATCCTTGAATGCATTGGGTTGGAAGGGACCTTAAAGATCACCTAGTTCCAACTCCCCTGCCATGGGCAGGGAACCTTCCACTAGACCAGATTGCTCAAAGCCCCATCCAACCCGGTCCTGAACACTTCCAGGGATAGGGCAGCCGCAGCAGCTCTGGGCAACCTGTGCCAGTGCCTCGCCATCCTCACAGGGAAGCATATTTTCTTGACATCTAACCTAAATGTCTCCTCTTTTAGTTTAAAATCGTTCCTCCTTGTCCTATCACTATCTGACCGCGTAAAAAGTCACTCATATAGCTGACTAAAGGGCAAGAACTATTTATAGCCTGGCCTTTTTAGACAATTAAAGCGAAATTCCAGGTTTTAACTGACGTTTTATACCAATTTGGTTGTTGTTTGTTTTCTTTTTCCACGGTAAAAAAACTTTTAAAATTATGAAGCGCTAACGTTCCAGCACATTAAACAACCTGAACCTTAAAACTAACGCGAACAGGCAGCCGGGAGGGGCTGGAAGGGCTCCCAAAGACAAAAGCAAATCTGTGCCACGCCGCAGAGGCGGCGCCGCCCCGCTCCCCTCACCAACCCGGGGAACACAAGGGGACGGTGGCCCCACGCCGCCCGCGGCCACCGCCCCCAGGGGTTCGGGGCAGCCCAGCGCCACCCGCTCCCGCCTCATGCCGCTCCTTACTATGCGGGGATCAGGAGGCACTTGAGGAAGGACACGCCGAGCGCCAGCGCGCGGAACCAGCCGCGGCCGCCCGCCGCCATGGCGCGCGAGCCCCCAACCCTGCGCATGCGCCGCGCCCGCCTCCTCGGTTTGAAGCGCGCGCCCGCCCCGCCCATCCGCCCGCAGCGGCGTCGGGGGCGCCACTACGCGTGCGCGGAGAGCGCTCCGCGTATCGCTGTCATGGGCACGAACTGAAATAGGGGAAATTCGGGTTGGATATCGGGAAGTGGTTTATTTGCGTGAGTGTGGTGAGGCATTGGCACAGGTTGCCCTGAGAAGCTGTAGATGCCCCATCCCCGGCAGTACTCAAGGCCACGTTGGATGGGACTCTGAGTAACCTAGTCTAATGGAAGGTGTCCCTGCCCATGGCAGGGGGGTTGGAACTGGATGATCTTTAAGGTCCCTTCCAATCCTTAACGCTCTATGATTCATTCCGTGATGTGGGGTTGAGTGGTTGCTGAGGTCTTACTTGTTTAACTTAACGAGTTTTAAATAAGAACAAGTCACTTAAGAGCTCGAATAGTGTGTGATTTAGCATGCTGCTCGCCTGGCTTTACTTAGCATGAGCAGCTGGATTTGCTGAAGTCTTAGGCTGAACTTTCACCTGGATATGCTTTTGGCTGGAACAAAGTTAATTTTCTTCTTAGTAATTGGTACAGTGCTGTGTTTTGAATTTATTATGAAAATACCATTGATAATACAGTGATTTTCAATTGCTGCTAGGTAGTGCTTACTCAAAATCAAGGATTTTTCAGATTCCCATGCTCTGCCAGCAAGCAGGTGCACAAGAAGTACAAACCAGAAGACAGGGAGGCTGCAGCAATCAGCAGAAGCTCCAACTTGGCAAAAGCTGTTAATGTCCTGTCTATATGAACACAGAAGAAGAATCCAATAAGGTGTTAGAAGGCCCCAGACCAAAAATCACTGTTGGACCAAGAAGCACGTGAATAATGAGCATGCAGAATAAACCCTTATTCTCAGAGATAAAAAGCTCAGGGATTTCTTTGTTTGGGGTCCCTTTGTGGAGGCACGCAGCTTGAGCTGACCTGCTGCTGTACTCCATTAACATTTATAAGTCCAGCACTGAGACTGCTACAGGAAACCCAGGGTTGAGCCTGAAGAAGGAGAAAGCTTGCCTGACACTGAGTGTGTGTGTGGGTGAGGAGTCGAAAGGGGCACCAGCTGGGGCTCACTGGAGCCACCCACTGTGAAGGGACTCTGGTCCTTGCTGTTAAAGTTCTCAGGTGGTGTGTGTGCAACTCCTTGAGCGGTGTGAGAATGCTCAGGCAGTGGCATTCCTCTAACATGGGTGATGTGGGACTGGGTGGGTGTGGGACCTGCACTGGGGCTGGGTAGTCAACTCTGAATGTTGTGGGGTTGATTGGCTGTGGGACCACTTACGGAGTTGGGCACTGTTGGGCCTGGATGATGTGAGGCCACCCAACCTTCACTAGGCTGAAGCTGCTTCCAATTACACCAGCTTACCTCTACTCCAGGGAGGTGCCATCTCAAACCAGTGTCGTTGGTGTCCGAGTCAGCTTCCAGGTAGAAAGCATTCTTTCGGAGGAAAAAGCTCAATTTTTAACACCTTCCTCCCAGCCTGCAGGGTAGATGCATACAAGGCTGATGCCTTCTCGCTTCCTTACAGCAAACCTTCATGAATTTAGGAATAGGACCTTGTAGGAGCTGCATGGAATCACAAAGATAATATCTTCAACTTGTATTTTCCTGTACAGCAGCAATATATTATGGTTTGCTCAAACTCAGGGACTAGAGACTAATCCAAAAGCATTAGGGTTTAAAAAGGGTTTTCACTGGAAAAACGATTTCTCTGTTTATAAACGTTTGAAACTAATGAAATGAGCTAATGCTTTTAAAATGGTTTTGATTATTTCTGAAGGCTTGTTCATCCACGTTTTCTACAACTGCATTAATTTTTGGGGAGCTTCCCACAATTCTCAGCCACGGAGAGGTCGAGGTAAGCGTTGCAATGATACACTACGTAAAATGATTAGAGAAAGGAAAAGCTACCGATTCAGCAAACTTCACTGCATGCTTTTTTCTCAAGAAATATATGTCAGGCAGAGCATCTCCTGCTTCATTCACATTTTATTTACTGTTTTCTAAAATACACATTAGTAACAGTTCACAAAAGAGTTACAGGCAGAGAAATACAATCAGATTTTTAATGTGATAGCCCTCAGGCTCTCTATAAAAGTGGACAGAAAGAAAGACCAACTTCTGACACTTTTCAAATACTACTGATTCCAAAGCATGGCTTTTAGTGAACTGGGGCCCAAATTCTGATCAATGGGAAAATCCTACAGTTAGGAATGAGAGCAAGAAAATAGTGAGGGGAATGCCAAGAGAAGGAGGAGAAAAGGAATTATTAGATATAGCCCTCCCCTATAGCTCCTTTTTTTCCCCCTGAATTCATATGGAAGGCATTCCTTGTGTTATTCCTAAGTGAATCTGAGACCCTGATCTGGATATTTATGCTTCGTCCCGCCCTTCTTGAACAGAATATCTGTATGACTGCCTGTACTAATTCACATACAAGACTTTTACTGTGAGGACCACATATTAGCACTGCTTGTACCGTGCATGTTTGTGTCCATCAATGTGTGGATGCAGAATGGCCCTTAAATATTTCAAAATGTATTGAAATTCTGAGCAGTGACACCAAATTCAAAGGGATGGGGTGAAAATAAAACTCCCCAAAGGAATCTTCTTCATAACTTCTCCATTTATCTGTGAAGTGTCAGAAGATCCTAGATTTACTTTCCTCAGTATGTTCCTTCCATGGCTGAAGGCAGTATTTATCACTCTCATCAACCTTACAAATGGACTCCACCAGCCTCTCCTAGAGTGGGAATAAATCCGATTGATTGCAGGTAATTACTGCAAGTGAACTCAAGCAGCAGTTAATACGCAACAACCCAGCTATAATATGGTAAGTACAGCAGTGCAAATGTTTGGTGATTTGAAGTACATGCAATTTGAAGCAAAGCTGCCTGCTCCTGAGAAGTTACTAGCATAACTCTTGGCATATTTAAGGTGCATAATAGGAGATTAAAACTGGAAAGGACCAGTGAATCATTCTAATTATAGCCTCTTGCAGCAAAATTTTTGTCTCTATTGTTATCTTGCTGTTGTTTTTTTTTCCTGAACACATCAAGATTTTCTATACTCTCCCTACTGAATCCTGGATTTCTTGTTAACGTGTGAATTCTTTCAGATCTAAATTTCTACAACTATTTGTTTCCTCACCATCAACTGCGGCAACAGTCACTCCTCCCACTAACTCCTTCTGACTCTTAACAGTGAGGAGTATGTCTTAATATTTATGTATAGTCTTAATTTAAGTATGTCTTAATATTTATGTATAGTTTCAGTCCCTTGATTATAACTGGACATTGTTAGATATTTAAGATATTTAAGAGCTACCGAGCCTAAAAACACATACAGAAATCCACAAGTGTTTCTTTCTGGACTCCATTAAGATGTTTCGGAATAATTCTGTAATATAAGAAATACCACTGCTATGCTCATGTCCTGAAAATGACATTAGACCACAGCTAACAACTTGTTTATCATCTGCCCTAACTCTGGTATCTTTCTGCTCTAACACAACTGAATGCTCTATTCAGTAGCCATTAAAAAAAAAAAGAAAATACAAACCAAACCACTGAAAAAGTGAGACCATTTAAAAAAAATTGCAGGACTTGGCCTCATTTTGTACACAAAGGTGTTGACAGAGACAGGCATATGGCAGAACCAGGAGTTATGCACCGAGATGTAGAAGAAAACACCCTTCAAGCTTTAAGGGGAAAAAAGCCACTAGATCCTTTTCAGGAAAAAACACCACCTATTTGTTCTGAGAATGAATATTCCACTCAACAGTGAAATAATTTTTAGATGTTACTGCTAATAAATGCTAAGTGCATTTCATGACTAGTGATGGGGTTGTGCTGCACTTAAAATGGCTTTGTGCATATTTGCTTCTCCGTAATTCAGGAAAACTCTTGAGAAGAAACATTATCAGTGCTGTTCACTGGTAAACAAAAGCAAGTTACGCCTCTAGGGCTCAGAAAAGGAAGGTAAACAAAAACCAGCTATCCAGATAAAATGCAAACAAATGCTTTGGAGAGAGAACATTCCTATAAACAGTCATTATAACGTAACTCACAGACTGCAAAATTCGGGAGCAGCTATAGATTTAGCTTAGCGTATAGTTTGAAATAGCAACTGCACAGAACATATGTTTGCCTGCAATCACCATTGATTCACTCACTGCCTATTTCCCGTGCTCCATTAGCGCACAGAATGGCATTCAAAATAGTACAGCATACATAAAGATGTTTGTTGAGCTTAGCAATTTAGAGGTACCTTGAGTTTTTCTGTTCCTCCCGAAGCTTGGCTTCACTCATGTCTTTATACTAGTTGGAAATTTTGCATCTACATAAAGAAGAGAGATATTTTGCATCTCTCTATGTATTAATAAATGACAGATTTGTGGCCAGCTCTACCTTTTCCTGATTTAGTCACATGAGTACGAATAAGTGTGTATTCAAGTCATCCATGTTTTGCATAAGAGACTAATGGCTTAAAGCACTCCAGATGAAGATCTGAGTTCAGTTCTCTCCTTTTACAGACTTCTCTTATTCACCTTTCACCAGAAAATGCAGTGATGATTCAACTCCCCCAGGCAATATTTTTATTTTGCTGAAACAGAATGGAGTAGTACTGATCCAGAGCTCTAAAGGGTGTAGATCAGACTTCCCCCCCCACCTCCAAATGAGATTTATGCCCACTGCTTTTACCTTTCATAATACTCAAGCTGACAGGAAACAAATTCCTACAGGTGAGTATTACTTTAGTCATGACATAGAAGAACTCCTGTTAAAGATCATTTAAAATCTACTCTCAAGGATGTGGGTTAAAAAGAAATACTGTCAACGGTCCCCAAAAGCTACGTTATCATAAATTCAGCAAAGGCGTATCTGTTTCAAGGCATAGATTTGATCAAGGAGGGCTCATTTTACAGATCATAATCACATTAACAGCACAGTCATCTCTGTGAATGTCCAGCTGAGTGGCAAACACATGCTTTATAATTCAGGACACGGATGAGGGGGAAAAAAAAAGTTCTTCCTTATGCAACTAAAGCTAGATAAATATGGTGACTCAAGCCAGAATCTGGCCACAAAATCCTGTCTGCAGTCCTTAAAATTCACAGTATTTGCCAGGTTTAATGGTTCTGAGGGCTTCAAGCCCAGTAAGTACTTTCTGGCAACA